GGAGTTTGTGTTAGAGTCACTCTGATGCCTAATAGAGGGGGAGGAATATTTGGACAGTTTACCCCAGAACATGGCCACACCACATAGAGAGGTACAGGTACAGGAGGAGGAGAGAGAGACTGTTGGTCAGCACGGTAGCATTTACTTAGTAGAGGCAGAGAAGGAGGCACTGGTCCTGTCCAACAACAACAACAACTTGGATTTATATAACAGGTACAATGTACTTGTTACATTGGATGAGAGAAGTCTGTGGGGAAGGAGGGCCTGAATGCAAAGCAAAGCTCCATAGAGCAGAAGGCAGTGCAATCGGGGAAGGAGCAGTTAAGTAAGTACTGAGTAGTATGAAAAAGAAATGGTGAGGTTGTAGGGGCATGGGTTTGGGAAGGGTGGGTCGTGTCTGATTAATCTAGTTGAATGTTTTGAGGAGGTCACGGAAATGGTGGGTAAGAGAGCTAGTCAAAATGATGGACATCATTTATATGGACTTTCAGAAGGCATTCGATCAGATTCCACACAAAAGATTATTTTTTTGTGTGAAACTATGCATTCAATTCACAAAATATACAGTCAGTTCACTTTGCAGTATATTCCGTGAAGTGCTGTGAGATGATTCCAAGCCAGGATTAGGCTCTATATCAAATGCAAGGATTATTATTATTATTATTAGGTGGGAGAAAGGCAATGTGATGGAGGTGGAGAAAAACAGTCCTGATCAAGGACTGGATGTGAGGTAGGACAGACAGCTGCGGATCGAACCCGATGCCAAGCTTATACATAGGTTTGGTAAGTCTTAGGGACAGGCCGGGGAGGTTGAGGAGGTCAGAACCCCAGGAGAGAGGACATTGACACCAGCCAAGGATTATGGCTTCCATCGTCAATATTCAGCTGCAAGAAGATTGTGCTCATCCAGGCTTTGGTATCTGACAACAAGCTGACAGAACATCAGCAGATCTGCAGTCGCAGCTGGAGGAGAAGTAGATTTGGGTGTCATTGCATACGTGTGTAAGTTGGCCCTGTGTTTGCGGACGACTTCACCGAGAAGGTATGTAAGGTAAAGAAAGTATAATATTTGAAGGGAATAAACGTCCAAACAGACAAATTAGACGAATAGAAAGATGGTGATTTACCAAAAAAAAACTGAAAAATGTCACTGAATCCAATATAAAGTCTGTCCACAGAAGTCGCTGGGAACATCCAGTAGGTCAGGCAGCATCTATGGACAAAGGAAAGTGAGTCAACGTTTCAGGTCCACGACGCTTTATCAGAACTAACCCAGAACCAACTTGTGGACCCAAACATCCTGACTTTGGGTTCCTATCACACTGCCCCATAGCCAACTAAAAAAAAACATTTTTCTTATTTTGCTTCTGATCCGATCATAAGAGCCAGTCTTCAGATCACACCGGAAGACTTTCCTCTTCAACTGTGTTCACACTCATCTCCCCTCTCTCTCAGCTCTCCACCAAACTATTCCATTCTTAAGGGATCCAAGACACTAACTCGCGTGAAGGGCGCTACATAACTGCAAATTGTTGTTGTAAAACTTGTCCTTTTAGAATCCCCACCAACTGTTATCTAATCGCAGCTCGAACAGTGGGGGTGAGGTGGGTACCTTAGAGATGTTCATAGAGATAGGTTTTCTGTCAGGACTTAAAGACAGAGATTGAGACATAATAAGCAATAATGTAATAATCCTTGCATTTGATCTATCGCTTTTCACGTCTTCTAGACGTCTCAAATATACTGTAAAGTGAATTGACTGTATATTTGTGGATGAAACACAGCAGCCAATTGCTCACAGCAGTGTCCCACAAATAGTCGTGGATTGAGTAACAATATTATTATTTTTTTTCTTGAGGGATTATTATTGTGGAGTAAGGAAACTTGCCCAAGGATTTGATCTGCCAGCTCTCTCGCTCGCAAAGCCACTGAGCTACAGGAGTCCACATGAATGGATGGATAAGGGTTTCACTGTATTGGATGTGAATATGCTGTGAGATGGAGGAGTTGATGGAGGGCGGAGTCCAGAGGTTAGTGACCTATGGTTAGCTCAGCCACCGATAGTGGCAAAGAGATTTGGGTGTCCATATCCACAAGTCACTAATGACTAGTTCTCCGGTGCAAAAAGTTATCAAAAAGGTGAATGAAATGTTGGCCTTTATCTGAGGATCCGGATTACAAAGGGGAAGAACTGATGCTTCAGCTGTACAGAGCGTTAGTCAAACCCCATCTGGAGACTGCGTTCAGTTTCAGGAAAGATATATTGGCTCTGGAGGGGGTGCAGCGCAGCTTCAACAGAACGTTAATAGGCCTAAAAGGGCTAAGTTACAAGGAAAGGCGGCGTAAACTTGGATTTTATTCCGTTTGATTGAGTTATTTAAGATTATAAATGGATTCGATCGGGGAGATACAGAGAAGCTATTTCTTCTGGTGGGGAATACAAAACAAGGGGCACAGTCTGAAAATTAGAACCAGGCCATTTAAGAGTGAAATCAGGAAGTTTTTTTCACTCAAAAGATGGTAGAAATCTGGAATTCTCTCCCCCAAAGGCCGTGGCTGCCAGATCCGTCCACACCTTCAAGAGTGAGGTTGATATATTTTTGGCAGGTCAGGGGATTAGGGGATATGGGGAGAAAGGGGAAATTAGAATTGAAAGGATTAGTCGACGACACATCAGCCACGATCTAATTAAATGACAGAACAGGCTCGAAGGGCTGAACAATATATTCCTGTTCCTATGGAAGGGGTAGGGCAGGGGATGTACAATAAGCCTCAGTTTGCCAAATAAAGGGGGAAAGCAGAGAAGTGGAGTCTCCAAAGCAAACTGAGAGTTTCCTGCATTCCACCTACACATTCGCCGACAAATGTACGGTCAATTCACTTTACAGTATATTCTGTGAAGCGCTTTGGGACATCTAGAAGACACGAAAAGCACTATATCAAATGCAAGGATTATTATTATCATCATTATTTATTATTATAATAATAATAATAATAATCCTTGCATTTGATATAGCGCTTTTCACGTCGGGAGGACGTCTATTATTATTTATTATATTATTATATATTATTATAGTATTATTATATATATCCCATGGCAATTCTTTCAGAATGTAATGTGGACTCTCTCCCTGGAGGAACATACGCTGCTTCACTAATTGCAGAGCGTATTAGACACAGTCCAGCAAAAGTCATGTCATTGGGACCCCAGGGTGTGCGTTGGGATAACTGGTAGAGTCGAACCAGCTACAGCGGCATTGAAATCACTGTCATGCAGCCTTTCCAGCTGCTTGTGTGCACTTGATGAAGTACTTTACATGTCATCAAGACTTCACAAAGCACTTCACAAACTTTACTGTGAAATGCAGTGACTTTGCTCGCAGCAACGTCCACAATTTTATCTGGAGGATTGTTGGCCATGACACCAGGAGAAGCTCTCTTTGCTTTTTGAATCGTGCCATGGGATCTTGAACATCTACCTGAACAGAGAGATGGGACCTCAGCTTAACATCTTGTCCAAAGGACGGCATCTCTGGCAATGCGTCCTACACTGTGAATTCGAAGGCCCGACATGGGGGCTTGAGCAAAAAAAAAGTCTGGGCTGAAATGAGAGTATAATTGTAGGTATTCATCCACAAATATACAGTCAATTTACTTTACAGTATATTCTGTGAAGCGCTTGGAGACGTTTGAAGACGTGAAATGCACTTTATATCAAATGCAAAGATTATTATTATGGATTATTATTTTAATTCCTATAGTTCGTGTGATGTTTGCTTTCCTATTGTGCTGCAGTTCCACTTGTAATAGGAGATGGCGGCGCTGCTCATTGCACTTTTGATACAGCGCCATATCATATCTTCTCGACGTCTCAAAGCGCTTCACAGAATATGCTGTAAAGTGAATCCATGATTGAATGGCGGGGAAGGCTAGAAGGGCCGAATGGCCTACTCCTGCTCTTACATGTTATGTTATATTATATTTTGTGGGTGAAACGCGGCAGCGAATTGCCATAAACAATTGTGGGACATTGCTTTGTATTATTACTATTATTTTTTGAAGGAATTATTACTCCAGAAAAGTGATCCGTCAATTGACCAACAACCAGGTTCCGACTTACTGCTAGATTAGAAGAGGTGCGTGAGGTGTGTGGAGTGAAGGAAACTTGGCCAACATTTCACCGGCTGGGAATCGAGCCCAGGTCTCTCGCGTGTGAGGCGAGTTCTCTAATACCTGAGCTACAGGTCTCCACCTGTTATAGCACCTGTTTACGTTGTTGAGATCTCTCAAAGCACTGTGAAGGGTATTGTATTAACTGGTGTAACTGTGTGTAATTTGTGGGAGAACCAATTTGTGCAAAGTCCTCCAAACTGCCTGCATTAGATTAATTTGATACCGGAGTGATACTATAATTATTAATAATAATTGTTGCATTCGATTGGAATAGAATAAGCATAATATTCTAGTTAAGCATTCTACTTATCTACTTCTGGAGAGTATTAGACACAGGCTGCCAAGAGCCAAGGCTTCGGGACCCCAGTGTGTGTGGGAAACTGTTGAAATGTAATCAGTTTGCCATCAGCTTGATAGCAATGTCTGGCAAGCTCCCTGCTGCCTGTCAGCTCGGACCACCCTAACCATTAGGGCTTCAGTTTTAAGAAGTAATAAAATCCCTTGTATTTCCATCGGATATCTGTGATGCGATCAGACAGCAGAGCCTGATATACTGCTGTGACTCATTACATTTGTGCCAAATCGCTGAGCCAGATCCCCTGTCTAATCTGCAAATAATAAAAACAGTCCTCACATTTGACATAGCACCTTACCACATTGTTGAGATATAATAAATGGATATTATTAACATGTCTGTGTGATCACGAGGCATAAAACAGTGTGTGGGAATAAAATGGAAACACAAATTAAATGCAGAGCAATAGCAAATGCCTTTATTCAATAAATTGTCATTAACAAGCTTTAGAAATAAGCATTTCATGTTTAAATTCCTCCCTTTATTCTATCTCACTTTCTTTTTCATTTATACTTTCTGGTCTCTCTCCCTTTTACTTTCTATGCCTCTCTTTTTCTTTCCTCCTCTTCTGTTCTCTTTGTTGTTGTTGTTGTCAAGGGTGGCTGTTGGAGTGCTACAAATGGAATTAAGTGTGTTCGTGATTATGTGGAGAAGGGAATTTGGATTAAGATAAATGCTTCATTAGAGGAGCAAGGAGCGATAGTAATATAATGTGTAACTCAACGTTTTCTCTTTCTCTCCTTCCGTTTCTTATTCATTTTCTCTTACTTTCTATTTTTATTCCATTCTGTTTTTCATCCTTTCTCAGTTTTGCTATTCTTTCAGTCTTTCTCTCTCTCTTCCTCTCTCTCTCACTCACTCTCTCACTCTTCCTTTTCGTTCAGTTTAATCCACATCTGACTGAATCACATGCAAAGTGTTAACTGTCAACAACAGCAACATAGCCTCAGGCAAAGCTGTACTTCACAATTAAGCCAGAATATTGCAAGCAAACCATGGGTCAACAAGCGCAGAGCATTACAGCTGATCTGAGCTATAATTGAGGGTAATTTTACTCCCATCATTGCAGCGCAGATTTGCCATCTCTCGTTTCATCTCCGATCCTATCCACACCTCCATCTCTACAGGAAGATCGTAGGTAACCTGCTCCTGAACCACACGAATCTTCAGCCTTGTCTTGGGAGGGACCTTGGCAGGGAGAGTGAACTCACGTTTGATGGTTGTGGTCTTAGATTCTGCTTTGCCCTTTTCCACTTGGAATCCTAACTGAAGCTCCATTTTCAGCTCAAGGCTCATGTCAGCTTGGATACCAAACATATCCACTCCAGATGATATCTTGAAGGTGCTGCCAAGGGTGATTTGACTGGATTGACTGAAGGTTAAAGACTGGGAAATGGTCACTTCCTTAGATATGGACTGGCCGGCTGTGAAAGCTTGCTCGTGGGGGGTTTGATTTTCACTGATAATTTCATCAATTGTTTGCTGCTTTGATTCTGTCTTCGCTTCATCCCAAAGGATCGTCACCTTTTTAATCGTAGGCTTCCCGGACTTCAGAGGGCGGATGTGGGATACACGATCATTGAAATTCAGGGATCTGTAATCAGGGACACATTCACCCTTTTTAGCCACGATCCTGTGCCCCTCACAGTTGGGGTGTTCATAGAGAACCCAAACCCCACCCTGGACAACATGGGAGGAAGCTTTGTCATTCATGTCACCAAAAGTAAGGTTGGTTTCTTGGGTGAAGGTTCTGGATATGCCTTGATAATTGATATGTTCATACAGAATTATGCGAGGATTGCTCAGGTTATCTTGGATCAGTTTCATTGACGAGATCACATCATTGAAGCCCTTGGTAAAATTATAGCGACCTTCTTCATACACACGGACATTTCCACGATAGAACTGATGTTCATACAAGATCCAGGGTTGGCCAAACACCTCCAAGCTTGAGATGGTATTGTCAAAGCTCAGTGCAACCAGATCATGCACATCGTCAGTGAACTCTTGGGAAAGCCCTTTAAAATCGGGATGTTCATAGACAACAAGTTTGTTCATCTTGTTATCGCTTCTTGACTTGTGAGTCTGTGAGTGAAGAGAAGGTGTCTGAGCTTCAGGTCTGCAGAGAGAATGTAAAGGTACCTCCACTTATATTCTTTCCACCCGAGTGAGTTAAGTGCGATGATAGGCTAATGTAACCAGAGACTGCAATACAGACCAAATATGGAAGAATAATGAATTCACACCTTCTAATGTAACAATAGTTCTTGGCTGACGTGAATTATCAGTGGATGTTTGGACAAGTTAATCAAGCTCACAGAGACAATCACAGAGATAACTGCCATATTAATGATACAGAAAGATATCATTACCAATCTAGAGAGCAGAATACAAGTGAATAGCAGTGTCTTCTTTTTGTCAAGTACCTTCTTGTCTTCTGACTTATGCAGGTTTGTTCTGACTTCAGGCCAGTTAGTGGCCAATATTACACGAACAAACAATTTTCACAAACTTTCCTGCAACTCTAACTACAAGACCATCTGGTTTGTCTCAGAGATACCATTTTCTTGCTATTATCATCACATAACAAATAATAATAATAATCCTTGCACTTGATATTGCTCCTTATCGTTGAGATAGCAGCAACAAGAACATTAGGTTTGTATAGCGCCTTTCATGTTGGGAGAACGTCCCAAGGCATTGGACAAAGTACAGCATTTCAGATCCGGGCTGGGGTCAGGAGGGGGGAGGGGAAGGGGGGTGGCCGGTGGCATGGTCAAAGAGGAGGGTCTTGAGGCGGGACTTGAAGGAGGCTAAGGAGGGGGCGAGCCAGAGTGACTGGGGGATGGAATTCCAGAGGTTGGGGGCAGAGTGGCTGAAGGCTCTCCCGCTAATGGTGGGGCGGGTGGGTCGGGGGACGAGGAGCAGGCCATAGCCGGCTGAGTAGAGGGATCGGGCGGGTTGGTAGGGGGTTTGGAGGCCGCAGATGTAGGGTGGGGCGAAGCCATGGAGGGCTTTGGATGTGAGGACCAGAATCTTGAACTGGATCCTCTGAAGGAAAGGGAGGCAATGGAGTCGGGCGGGAATGGGGGAGATGGGGTCACGGAGTTTGAGTTTTTCAGAGGACACGGGCTGCAGAGTTCTGGATTATCTGCAGCTGTGGAGGGAGGAGTTGGAAAGGCCGACAACCAGGGTGTTCGCATAGTCCAGCCTGGAGGTGATGAAGGTATGAACAAGAGTTTCGGTGGCCTGAGGGGTGAGGTAGTGACGGAGTCGGGCGATGTTACGGAGGTGAGGGAAGGCAGAGCGGGTCATGGCTTGGATGTGGGGGAGAAAAGACAGTTGAGGGTTAAACAAGTCACCTCGGTACCTGACTGTCTGGGGAGTTGTAGTGTACACCATGGAGGGTGATGTTGCCGGAGCCTAAGGTGCTGAGGGCCAATCAGGAGGGCCTCAGTCTTGTTCACATTCAACTGTGGGCAATTTGCCCTCATCCAGGACTTGATGTCCGACAGACATAGACGAGCGTAGTTGTGATGAATGCACAGATGAGGGTTTCAGCGGCCTGAGGGGCGAGGCTGTGGCGAAGCTGGACACTGTTGCGAAGGGGGGGATCAGGAGGGCCCGAGGCTTGTTGACGTTGAACTGTAGAAACTGCTCTTCTGTGTGAAAGACACCATATCAATATATTCAACTTATATTGATATGGTGCCTTTCAGACAGATGAGCAGCTCAGCTCAGTGCTGGATTCACACGAACCACAAGTGATGTGGTGCAAACAGGAAGCCGCGTCCGAGCCATTCCTGTGACAACAAACAAAGCTGTGAATGTTGAGCTTGAGGAAGAGGTTGGTTTGGCCACAGAGGGACGATTGTGTCAAGATTTGAGCACATCAGAATTGTGCAGAACACTCCTCCTGTTAACAGTCAGGAGCAGAGGCCGGAGAGCGAGGGGAGCAGTCAGCCATCAGGAGCAGAGGCCGGAGAGCGAGGGGAGCAGTCAGCCATCAGGAGCAGAGGCCGGGGAGCGAGGGGAGCAGTCAGCCATCAGGAGCAGAGGCCGGGGAGCGAGGGGAGCAGTCAGCCATCAGGAGCAGAGGCCGGAGAGCGAGGGGAGCAGTCAGCCATCAGGAGCAGAGGCCGGGGAGCGAGGGGAGCAGTCAGCCATCAGGAGCAGAGGCCGGGAGAGCGAGGGGAGCAGTCAGCCATCAGGAGCAGAGGCCGGGGAGCGAGGGGAGCAGTCAGCCATCAGGAGCAGAGGCCAGGAGCGAGGGGAGCAGTCAGCCATCAGGAGCAGAGGCCGGAGAGAGATAAAAAGCCAAGCGACCAACGGGAGAATTAAAAAGTAACTTCAGAGCAACATCACAATCAAAACATTCTGAAAGAGTAAACTAACAGCCAACACTAACTACTGACCTAACAGTAAACTAACAGCCAACACTAACTACTGACTAACAGTAAACTAACAGCCAACACTAACTACTGACTAACAGTAAACTAACAGCCAACACTAACTACTGACTAACAGTAAACTAACAGCCAACGCTAACTACTGACTAACAGTAAACTAACACTAACTACTAATTAACAACACTAAAAATAAACTAAATTTTAAAAAAAGATTAATCAAGAATTTAACTTTTAAAAATAATAAAACTTTAATTCTCAGTGGGGGCGGGAGAGGGGGCAATGGGGTGGAGGGTGTTGTGAGGACAGTGGGGGTGGGAGAGGGGGGCATGGGGTGGTGGGTGTTGTGTGAGGACAGTGGGGGGGAGAGGGGGCAATGGGGTGGTGGGTGTTGTGTGAGGACAGTGGGGGTGGGAGAGGGGGCAATGGGGTGGTGGGTGTTGTGTGAGGACAGTGGGGGCGGGAGAGGGGGCAATGGGGTGGTGGGTGTTGTGTGAGGACAGTGGGGGCGGGAGAGGGGGCAATGGGGTGGTGGGTGTTGTGTGAGGACAGTGGGGGTGGGAGAGGGGCAATGGGGTGGTGGGTGTTGTGTGAGGACAGTGGGGCGGGAGGGGGGCAATGGGGTGGGGGTGTTGTGTGAGGACAGTGGGGGTGGGAAGGGGCAATGGGTGTGGGTGTTGTGTGAGGACAGTGGGGGCGGAGAGGGGGCAATGGGGTGGTGGGTGTTGTGAGGACAGTGGGGTGGGAGAGGGGCAATGGGGTGGGGGTGTTGTGAGGACAGTGGGGGCGGGAGAGGGGGCAATGGGGGGTGGGTGTTGTGTGAGGACAGTGGGGGCGGGAGAGGGGGCAATGGGTGGTGGGTGTTGTGTGAGGACAGTGGGGCGGGGAGGGGGCAATGGGGTGGTGGGTGTTGTGTGAGGACAGTGGGGGTGGGAGAGGGGCAATGGGGTGGTGGGTGTTGTGTGAGGACAGTGGGGGCGGGAGAGGGGGCAATGGGGTGGTGGGTGTTGTGTGAGGACAGTGGGGGTGGGAGAGGGGGCAATGGGGTGGTGGGTGTTGTGTGAGGACAGTGGGGCGGGAGAGGGGGCAATGGGGTGGTGGGTGTTGTGAGGACAGTGGGGCAGGAGAGGGGGAAATGGGGTGGAGGGTGTTGTGTGAGGACAGTGGGGGCGGGAGAGGGGGCAATGGGGTGGAGGGTGTTGTGAGGACAGTGGGGGTGGGAGAGGGGGCAATGGGGTGGAGGGGGTGGGACAGTGGGGGCGGGAGAGGGGGCAATGGGGTGGAGGGTGTTGTGTGAGGACAGTGGGGGCGGGAGAGGGGGCAATGGGGCGGAGGGTTTGTGTGAGGACAGTGGGGGCGGGAGAGGGGCAATGGGGTGGAGGGTGTTGTGAGGACAGTGGGGCGGGAGAGGGGCAATGGGGTGGAGGGTGTTGTTGAGGACAGTGGGGCGGGAGAGGGGCAATGGGGTGGCAGGTGTTGTGTGAGGACAGTGGGGGCGGGAGAGGGGGCAATGGGGTGGTGGGTGTTGTGTGAGGACAGTGGGGGCGGGAGAGGGGGCAATGGGGTGGGGGTTGTGTGAGGACAGTGGGGCGGGAGAGGGGGCAATGGGGTGGGGGTGTTGTGAGGACAGTGGGGGCGGGAGAGGGGGCAATGGGGGCGGGGTTGTGTGAGGACAGTGGGGGCGGGAGAGGGGGCAATGGGGTGGTGGGTGTTGTGTGAGGACAGTGGGGGGGGAGGGGGCAATGGGGTGGGGTGTTGTGAGGACAGTGGGGGTGGGAGAGGGGCAATGGGGTGGGGGTGTTGTGAGGACAGTGGGGGTGGGAGAGGGGGCAATGGGGTGGTGGGTGTGTGAGGACAGTGGGGGTGGGAGAGGGGGCAATGGGGTGGTCGGTGTGTGAGGACTGTGGGGGTGGGAGGGGGGCAATGGGGGGCAATGGGGTGGTGGGTGTTGTGAGGACAGTGGGGGGGGAGAGGGGGCAATGGGGTGGTGGTGTTGTGTGAGGACAGTGGGGGTGGGAGAGGGGCCAATGGGTGGTGGGTGTTGTGAGGACTGTGGGGGTGGGAGAGGGGGCAATGGGGTGGCAGTGTGTGAGGACAGTGGGGTGGGAGAGGGGGCAATGGGGTGGCAGTGTGTGAGGACAGTGGGGGTGGGAGAGGGGGCAATGGGGTGGCGCTGTTGTGAGGACAGTGGGGTGGGAGAGGGGCAATGGGGTGGTGGGGTTGTGAGGACAGTGGGGTGGGAGAGGGGCAATGGGGTGGCGTGTTGTGAGGACAGTGGGGGTGGGGAGGGGGCAATGGGGTGGCAGCTGTTGCGAGGACAGTGGGGGTGGGAGAGGGGGCAATGGGGTGGCAGCTGTTGTGAGGACAGTGGGGGTGGGAGAGGGGGCAATGGGGTGATGGGTGTTGTGTGAGGACTGTGCCATGTGGGAGTTGCTGGAGGGAAGGCAGAGCCCGGGCGACCACATCTGCCGCAAATGTGTGCACCTGAGGCAGCTCCGGCTCAGAGTGTCAGGGAGTCTGAGCTGGAATCCGAGGTGCAGACACTGCGCAGCATCAGGGAAGTGAGAGCTTCCCGGATCGTCTGATCCTGGAGCAGTCACTCCCCTGAGGCTCAGGGAATGTATAGATAATAGCATCAGTCAAGGACAGGATAGGGTGTCCGACAGGCAGGAGGTTAAGGGACCACCAGAGAGAGTGGCAGTGAAGCCTCGGG